ATTCTGGGAGAAGTAAAGTTTAGGATCTGTCTTTTTTTAAAAAAAAATACAGGAGGGATGTATGGTTAAACACAGCAGGTGGCACACAGGTATCCCCTCTGCTTCCTCCTGAAACCCCTCACAAATGACAGTAAAGGAATCATGGTGTGTAAACCCACAAGGCCAAAGCAAAGGACAGAAGACAACCACGTTGGAAAGAGTCCGGTCCAGTTTTAAAAGCTGGAGGAACTGATGGCCGAGCGTGACTCCGCAGCCTGGAAACGGCCAAGGCCCAAACCTGCCGACTGGGGAGATTAATAAAGTTGATTGCACTGACGAAACCCCAGAAAGACTCATGAGCAGTGGCAGCAGATGCCACTGAGGTCAGGGTCCCAGGTGGGGCTGAAAAAAGAAATCTGCAGCTCAGTGCCCTCATACGGGCCTCCTCCGCCCCTCGGAAAACGGTAAGTTCACCCTCTGCACTGAGTGAATCAAGAGGTAGACCCACACGGCCAAAGACAGGTGGCCATTTACATTTAAAGAAAAATTAATCAAAGTTAAATAAAATTAAAGGCTCAGTGTCCCAGTCAAGCTAGCCGCATTTTCAAGTGCTAACGGTTACCGTGCCTGTGGCCTTCCACATTGGTCGGCACAGGTCTAGACTGCACCCACCAATGCATACAGTTCCACTGGACAGCGCTGCTCTAGACCCTGGCCGTCGGGAAGTGCAGTCCGGGGATCAGCTGCAACTCTGAGGACCTTATCAGGAATTCGGAATCTGGGCTCCATGCAGACCTGCTGGATAAGAACCTGCCTTTTGTCAAGATCCCCAGGTGGTGGTTAATCTGTAGCTGAAAATGAGGTCAAAGGAAAGTCTGAAAATCCTGCATTGTGGGGCTTCCCATCCTCTTAACCCCCTGGGCTGCCAGGGCGCCAACTGCCAAGCAGCAGCCTAGAAATGAGGCTCTGGGGAGGCTGACCAACCAAAGGCAACAGACCTATGGATACTGATTGACGTTAGAGGGTTCTCCAATGAAATGACCAGGTTCCTGCCAATCAGCCAATAGGAGGTTGGCTGATTGGCAACCCCCAGAGCTTCCCATGAGCTTTTTTTTTTTTTTTTTTTGCAAAAAGATTTTTAGGGTCAACAGGTCTTTGGGAATAAAAGCCTCAAACATGATAAAGAGAGAGCAAACAAAACAAATGAATAGACAGGGTCCTTTAAGGCAAACAGACACTATAAAGAACAGAAGAAAACTTCAACATCCTCAGGTAGATAGGATAATACATGCATAAAACAACAACAGGAAGCTCTAAGAAAAGAGCATTCTGAGAACAAGAAAGGGTTCTATGAAATTAGATACGGACAAAAGAAATCACAAGAAATTCAAAGGAAATGTTGGAATACGGCTGAGAAAATGTCTCATAAAGTAGAACAAAAAAGATTTTAAAAAAGAGAGAGAGAGAGAGACAGTGGGTAAAAACAGATTACTCTGGGAGGTCCAACATCCTAATAAGAATTCTGAAAGTGTAAGCAGAAAAAATCAAGGGGAGGAAATTATGAAGCAAAAAAATAATACCTGAAAATTTCCCAGAAATGAAGGCTATGAATTTTCAGAATAAGAGGTCTCTCTGAGTCCCCAGAACAATGAATAAAAAGACCCACAATAGGGCCCATTATCACGACTTTTCAGAGCACAGGACATAAAGCGAATACTCCAAACACGCCCATAGAATTTCTTTTTAAGGTTAGACACAAAGGACCGACAATCAGATGAAATCAGAATGGCACTGCATTTGACAGCAGCAGCACTAGAAGCTCTGAGAAAACCCTCCAAAATTCCAAGGGAAAAGAATTTCCAGCCTAGACATGCACCATAAGCCAAGCCAAATACTGAGTGAAAGAGCATAACAACGATATTTTGGGGCATGCAAGGATTTTTTAAAAATCCGCTCCACCCCTTTCCATGCACCTTTGCCCAGGAAGCTCCTAGAGCAGGGATTTTCAACTGGTGCACCGCGGCACACCCGTGGGGGAAAGAATTTTTAAGGAGCTGGAAGCAAGGCGGAGGGGTCACCTCCCTGATTCCTGCTCCCCCGCCCCTGCCCCCATGACTCAGCACCAAGGTGAGATGCGGGTGTTGGCAGTGAGGCCCCAGAAGGGGACTGGGCAGGAGCCAAAGGAACAGGGACGTGACCAGGACCACGAAGGGGAGAGCGGGCCCCTGCAAGGTGGTGGGGGTGGGGACACCAGAGAGCGGTCAGCCGCTGCAGGTGTTCCCAAAGGACACGCCTGCCTGCCTGCCTGCCTACCTGGGGAGTTACGTCCCCACCGTGTTTGAGAACTACACCGCAAGGTCAGAGATGGACAAGCAAGCGCTGCATAGAGCTCAACATGAAGGACTCTTCAGGTCCCTCCTACTGGGATAACACCCGGCCCCTGGCCTGCACCGATTCAGCCACTGTGCTCACCTGCTTCAACATTAGCTGACCAGAAACACTGGGCAGCACTCTCAAGAAGTGGCCAGGGGAGACCCAGGAGTCTTGCCCCAATACCAAGGCTGTGCTGGTTGTCTGTGAACTGGACATGCAGATGCCCTGGCCGCACTGAGGGAGCTGTCCAAGCAGCAGGATACTCCCGTTACACGGGAGCGGGGCACGGTGCTGGCCAAGCAGGTGGGGCTGAGTCCTGCTCGGGGAGCTCCTCTGGGCAAAGCCTCAGGGTTGTTTTCCACGTGGCCATAGGCAGCTGGGTACTTACGGGTACTCACACCTAGGGCTGCAACGATCCTCTCGCTCCCCCCAAGCAGGATGGCCAAGTTAGGCAAAGGAGTGGGGAGCGGAGCGGGAAGGAGGGCGAGATACACAAGGATCCAGCCAAGAGTTGCAACCTCATGTGAGGAGCCGGGAAGGGGCAGAGTGTCAGGAGGGGTGATGAAGGGCACAATTGTTCCCCTGCCTGCACCCTGGCTTCCTGATGTCTTGACTCTGGCTGGGACTTCAGGACAGGCTGAGTGACCAGTTCTCCTACACAAGGGACCCAGAAGGAGAAGGGTACCATCATCCCTCATCTTCAGTCCCCTCCTCTCCACAGGAAGTTGAGGGAGCAAGCCGGGCAGGCATCTGGGCCAGGAACTAGGATGGCTAGTGGGAGCTGGGGAAGCTGGCATCCGGCAGTGACCTTGGCTGAGTCTCAGCATATGATGGGTGACTTCCCTCCCTAGCCCCAGTCCCCACACCCTGGTCCTGGCTTCCTTCCCCAAGGAAAGTGTCCATCCAGTGACCCACCCCTTTCTTCTCTTCTCGCTTCTGCAGCTGCTCTCACTCACCCTGACGCCCCAGAAACTCGCACTGGATGGCACAGCAAGTTGAGAAGCCCCTCCCCCATGTATCCTCCTGTCTTGCCTCCTCTCTCCGCCCACCATAGTCCCTAAATAAAGTCCGTGTTCGCAGGGGAAAAAAGTTTAAAACATGCATGTCCTAACTATTTAGTCGGCACACTGACCTCTTTTCCCACAGAGGGTCAGATAGACAAACAACAACAGCCAACACAACAATAGCCACCTGGTATGAATGAATGAATCAAAACTATACCTATTTTTTGGTCAGATCGGCAAAAATAAAAAATATTTTTTGGTGTGCAGCAGAATTTTAGTGTTTAGCTTATGCGCACCACGAGATGGAGAAGGTTGAAAATGGCTGCCCTGGAGTACGGGCCCCGCCAAAGTGGAGAAGCAAACCAAGCAAGAGAATGGAGCGGGATCCAGGAATGAGGGGGTGCCCAGGGCCCTCGCCCGGCAGCAACCTGGGGGAGACCAAGCTTACTGGGGGGAGAAGGTAGATGCAGGGGGATTCCACCAGCAGAGAAAAAAAGAAACTGGTAGATTTTCTCATGTTTCATCCAGACTGAAAGATCTAGGTTTCTGTTGGAGCGCTTGGGGGACTAATTTATGATAAAAAAACAACAACAAAAAAAACCTAAGCTCTTCCAAAGGGCATAAGGAACCAACTCCATCCCCCACAATTCCTTTCTCACCACTCCTGACACCCTCTGGGGTGGCCCGAGGAGGCACCCCCTTGTGATCACAGGACTCTGCAGAACCCTGTCTGAAAGCTACTAAGCTCAATCTCCTTACAAATGGGGAAACTGAGGCCCAGCCAGGCCCCCCCCCCCCCCCCCCCGCCAGGGACACACAGAGAGAAGTGGTTTCATTTGGTGAGTTTTGGAGAACTCCTTTCTGATTCTTTATTCAAGACAAGATCAGTAACAACAGCAAGCACCAAAACCAAACCTGAGGGAAGCCAGGCTGGTGAGAGAGACCCCAGCTGGCCCTGTGTGACCTGGCGTAGCTTTGCCTTAGCTTTTCCAGTCACCCTGCCGATGAAGCTGCACTAAATGTCTAAAAAGCACAGACTTGGTTACTTCTAATTTCCTGTGTTACATCTAATGACCACCTTTTAAAGCAAGATCACATAACTGTGATTGAGTTTTACACACCATGAATGAGTCAACTGTAAACTTCTGGGGAAAACATTGGGGTGGGAAGGCGGGGTGAAAAAGACATCACCGGGTGCCAACAACCTCCTTGGAACCAAGTGCCTGGCCCCCCATGCCCTTTGGTAGATCCTTGTTATTATCGGTAAGAACCAAGGCCAGTGCCCTCTTACAAATGCCAACAATCTGACTTTCTTCCTAACGCTGACCTTCCAGTGGTCTCGCTTTCGATTCTTTGACTCTGTCCGCGTTTCTCAAGGGCTTGGCTAATAACAAAGTGTTTGTAATTAGTAAGTAAAGGATGTAAACTCTTTGGAGTGTCCGCACCTGAATATGAAATTCTAACAAACTTACTACTCTCTGATCTTAACATGTGACATTCTCTCTTTGAATCTTAATGCCCTGGTCTATGAAGCTCATCTCCTTCCCTGTTTAACAGGGTCACCACCAAAACCCCAACAGAGAGGCCTGACCTAGGAGGCAAAAACCTGGGCTGGAAGCTGGGAGTCCTGGGTTTGAGTCTTACCTCTGCTACTTGCTGTGTGACCTTGGGCAAGTCACTTCTTCTATCTGGACTTGAGGTTGCTCTCCTGCAAAACGCACGGCTGGGGCCCAGTGATCTCCCTCTCAGGCTCCTTCCATCTCGTGACTCTCCCAGACTCCCGGTTTCGTTCAGGACGTGGCCCCTCGGCCTCCCCAAGGCCTGCCTGCCTCCCACACCCTCCATTCCAGAAGGAACACCCTTCCCCTTTCCTGCCCAAGCTGGGGCCTGGCAGGCACTGGGCTGCAGAGAGGACAGGAGGTGGGGAAACTATCCCAGCAGTTCAAGCCTCCGCGGTGAGGGCTGGCTGGTGGCCAGTCACAACAGGCCCCGAGATACAGAGGGGCATTTGTCTGGGGGACCCAAGGTTTCATTTCAACCTTCACTCTTGCTTTGGCCCACAGCCGCTCTTTTCTCCCCTCCCTCTTGGGCGGCAGTACCAGCACCGGCTTTGTTTTGGAGCGGGGTGCAGATGTTTCAGACCAGAGCAGACAAAAGGGGTAGGGTGGCAGTGGTGAGGGTGGCCACAGTGAGGGCGGAGGCCGGAGACGGCGGGGGGCGGGGGGCGGGCAGGAAAGGCTGTGGACAGAGCAGTGGGGCAGCAGAGAAGCCCCAGGAGGAAGGGGCTAGTTCCCCAACTCCTTCGCCGATTAGCCAAGCGCCTGCGAGCTGGGTACTTCCTTCTTTTCTCCAGGCCTCAGTTTCCTTGGCTTTAAAATGGGAGGGACTGCCCCCCCCCCAATGCTGTGAGGACTAAAATCAAATGTTGAACATACAAATAGTGTGGCGTAGTGAAGAAAAGGGTTTGGAGTCACGTGAAACCAAGTTCAAGTCCTGCCACCTCTAAACTCACTGTCGTGGGCAACTTATGTACCCTCCATGAGCCTCATTTCCCTCGAGAAGAAAAAGGCGTATGTTCACCTGGATGAGGACATAAGGACCAAATAAGGACTGACAGACAGCCCCTCGCCCAGTAAATACGTTTGCACAAATGAAGAGCTGGTCAGGGCCACATCAGGGTGGACTTTGCGGGCCCTTCCCACCGTATTACATTTTCATAGACTCTAAACGTTTTATTTTTTCTGATGGGAGAAAAATATTGAAACACTTCCTCCCACCCTAAAAGTTGTTCGTTCCCCCTGCCTTGATTTTAAGAGATATTAAAACATTTGGTGGGGGCTCAAGTCTACCTCCAACATGAACTTAGGATGGTCAAAAAGTCCCGGTAAGTTTTAGTCCTGTGGCCGCCTCCAGTCGCACCCCTGTTTGAGCTGAGCCCTGGCGGTCCCTCCCATCCTGGCCACAGGGCCTTTGCCTGTGCCAGAGCGCTCATTCCTCACCTGCAGACACTTAATGATGCTTTAACCCAAGTGTTCCTTGTACTGTCCATGCCGAGCACTCTGACAGTGCCCCTCTCTCACCACTAGTTGGACGTAGCATCTTCTCTTTGACCAGTGGCTGCGTCCCACCCCAGACTCCCAGCCCCGAGACTGCGGGGGCTGTGCCAATTTGTATTCACCTTTTGAACCCCTAGTGCCTCGAACACGGCTGGGCACGCTGTCAGTCCGAGCACGTGGTTGCTGGGTGAAGTGACGACTGACTGACTGAATGAGCGGCGCTTGTTCAGTGAATGCTGGCGACCTGCAGCCCCATCAACAGTCAAGCGCAGATCATCTGGCCTGTGCCTTCCCACTGCACGCGGCTGCGCCGTGATGAAGATGTGCCACTGAGACACGAGACAGGCCACGAGGGCCACGGAGCTCGGAGAGGGACAGGCTGCTGGGCAGGGGACCGGGGAAGAGGGCAGGCTGCCTTGAGTGGCACCTGTGGTCACTAAACTCTCAGGCTACAGGGTCAGAGAGACCTGGTCTGGATCCCAATAATCCATTAATAGGTCATATTTACTTGGTTCTACATACCAAGCCCTCTGCTAAGTACTTTCTGTTTCTTGATTGTCTTATCTACCCTAAAAAGTTTACTACAGTTTAAAATATTTACACGAGGAAACCGAGGCCCAGCCCAGAGAGGTTAAGTAATTTGTCCAAGGTCACTGAACTGGGGCGTGAACCCAGGGAATCGGACTTAATGTGTAGTGTCTGCTCTGTATACGGAGGGCATGGCAATAAGAATACACATTTAATAAGCGCTATGTGCCAAGCACATTTCTAAACACTTTACAGAAATGTTTTATTGGTATAGTTTCTACTTCATTTTTTTCATAAGTTATATTATTCCACAACAACCCTATGAGGAGGGTATCACTATCTCCATGTTACAGGTGAAGAAACTGAGGTTCAGAGAGGCTAAGTAAGTCACCTGAGGTAACACAGCCAGCAAAAGTGGTAGAACTGGGGGGAACCCAGGCAGAACGCCCCAGAGTTCATGCTTTTTAAAAAATATATTGTTTACCCATTCTTTTTTAAAAACTGATTTGAGAGAAAGAGAGAAACATTGATTTGTTGCCCCCTGATTTGTGCGCCCACCGGTTGGTTCTTGATCGAGGACCAAACCTGCTATGCTGGCAAATCGGGACTACGCTCCAACCCACTGAGCCGCCTGGCCAGGGGCTCAGAGGTTGTGCTTTTAACCACTCCACTTCACAGCTTCTGCTCAATGAATGAGCATTTTTATTGATATGCTACCGGGATCTTGTAAGGGGAAAAAGGGAGCAGCAATGTTCTAGCCGGAAGGAGCAGTGGGAGCGAAGACGGGGTCAGGAGGTGGGGATGAGCGCGGTCAGGAAGGGGAGTGTGAGATTGGGTGGGGGGATGGGACCGGGAAGGGCGATGGAGGTTTGATTTCAGGGATGTGTGGGACTAACTGGGAACTTCCGCCATGGGGAGAAGCTGGCGTGCCTTGCTCTTTCAAGAATCAGTATGTTATGAATTCTTCATGAGATGCTTGAAAACTCAAGAGTGTCAGAGCCAGACTGACCTGGCTCTGCTGGGTGCCCTTTGGAAAGTTACTTAACCTCTCTGGGCCTCCATTCCTTTCCTGTATGATAAAGGTGAAAAAGAAAAGGGTGGGGGGACCTCCTCTATTGAATCGGTATTTAGGTAAAAGGAGATAATGATTATAAAGCCCCTGGCTGAATGTTTGGCACAAAACAGCCCTTTAATAGATTTCATTTAGCTCCCCTCCCCACCTCTAGGAAGATCGCCCCAGACCCCCAACCTTAGCAGAATTAAGGCTAAAATTGGTGACTGATCTAGAGCCCCTGACGTTCCTGGAGACCCCTGGTCAACGGGTGAGGGAGGAAGGAGAGGAAAATGTCAGCCCTTCCAGTTTCAAGATGTGTTCAAGACAGAAAAAAGAATACTTAGAATCTCTTTCCTTCTCCTTCCTGCTGTGTCAACCCGGGGTTATGTAACTGAACTTCTCTGTGAGGTAACCCTTGGGGGCCTCCAGGCGGCAGGGCTGGCAGTGACATAAATAAATATTTCTGTGCTCTCTGCCCAGGTTCTGAGCAAACATCGCAGCCTGAAAGGGAGGCCGTGACAGGGAGGAAGCTGGGAGGGGAGTGAGCACTGGCGGGGAGTGAGGAGACCCGTGTTCCCGACCCAGCCCTGCCTTGAGGGACGTGGACAGCAGGTGACATGCTTTCACGGTAGAGAGACCTGGGAGGAGAGATTCCAGTGTGGGCTGGGAGTCGTAGAACCCTTGGCCCGTTCTGTTTGCAGAGAGAATAAAGTTCGCTCCCCACCTTGGCCCGGCATTCAAAGCCCTTCACGCCTCTCTCCCATTCCATCTTGGCAGCTCCACAAGCGACACCTTGGCTCTTTGGAACTACAGAGTCCCCCTGACAGTGTTGTCCTCGCTCCTGAAATGTCCCTTCCCTGTGCACTGGTGGTGACAGGGGAAACACAGGTATGGGTTTCGAGTTAGACCTCGCTTTGAGTTAAGGTTTAGTTAAGTCACCTTGGGCTCGTGCCTTAACCCCTCGGAGCCCATTTCCTCATCTGTAAACTGGGCTTTGTGATTCTCGTCTTGTTCCTTGTTGCACAATCAAATGAGATAATAGTGGTTAGTAATAAGTGCCCACCACTTCGCCTTACTGCGTGGACCAGGCGCGTGTAAGGTTTGTGCACAGAAGGTACTTGGCAAGGCACTAAAAATGCTCGTTCCCCTTTCCGCCAAGACCGGCCCAACGCCTCCCTACCGATCTCAGGTAGGTCAGTCTGTTCTGAGAATCTTCACAGCGTCCCACAGGCACCTCGGAGACAGCGCTGAGCCCATGGAAGAGCTGGTTAGCAGATAGGTCTCTCTTCTGTTCTAGCAGCTCTCTGCCTCAGTCATGGCCACGTTGGCACACTCGGCACGGGCGCTTGAGTGAATGAATGAATGAATGAATGCACACAGATAGGCGGCATGAAAGGGATGTACTTGAGTAAATGCTCAAGGGCGGCCTGGAGCTTAACTTTCGGGGCTCTGGCTCCCCTCACTCAGCTTCCCCCTGAAACTCCAGGGGGAAAGTCACACCCTCCCTTGGGCTTTTATATTACTTGGATTTGGGCCATAATTATTTTTTTCTTTCTAGGAGTAAATAAAATCTTTAAAGAGAGTGGAAGGGAGAGAGAAAGAGACAAGAGTGAGAAACATCATGTGTGAGACACATCGATTGATCAGCTGCCTGGCCCCCAACGAAGGACCTGGCCCTCCGCCCACACATGTGCCCTGACTGGGAACTGAACCGGTGACCTTTCCATGCACAGGTCGGTGCTCAACCCACTGAGCCCCACCAGCCAGGGCTGGAACAGAATTTTCTAGCCAATCACCAGGATAACAGTGATAGCAAAGCAAAGGATTTTTGGCTCTTGAGGAGTCTGAGACACCTGGAAGCTATGGAGTGAATGTCAAAATACTGGAATTTCCAGAATAGTCCAGGAATTTAGGAATAGTAGACTTAATTCCACAGTGCCTGGTCTAGCTACTGCCCCAGCATGCAACTGTCTAACAAACGCTTAGTGGATTGGGGATAGTGTGGTTTTACTCTACCGCGGGGCTGGGATGTGCTACTGTGAAGGAACAGAAGCCACCAGTCTTCTTCTTGGGGACCCACTTGCTGGAGAAGGAATGAATTAGAATCACAGAGCTGCCAAGACCGTAGCTTTCTGCACCGTGCCTCTCCATCATTCCAGT